CACCTCCGCAGCCTCAGCAGGCTTAGCTAGCCCCTGTCTTGATGCTAAATGGGAAGTGCCCCCCTGCTCTGCCACCTCTGCCCCACCTGCCCCACGGCCTCTGGGGCTGGCAGAGAGGTGGCGCTGGCACTGGTGCTGGTTTCCCGTGAGATCTCCCTGAAATGCTGGTGCTGCCTCTTCAGCAGCGCCGGAGGTGGTGGGGTTGGTGGGGCAGCCAGGGGGGCCGGCTTGGGGGCTTCTGAATCATGAGGTGGCTGCTTCACCTTGGGGAGCCAGGCCTGGTTCTTCCTGTCCTTGGCTCTGGCCACCCCACTCCCAGCCATGGGTCACGGTAAGATTTAGGGATTCTTTGGGGGATGGAGCCACATGCATTTTACTCACACATGACCACGTTTATGTGTGGTGCTGGGAAATATAAATAAATATATCATACCCAAAAATGGCAGGAGAAAGTCTGGCCTGCTGGGAGACTGTTCCTGCCTCTCTCCCCCTGGCCCAGGCTTCATAAGAACTGCTGCTGCTGCCCAGCAAGGGCTATTTGGGGGGAAGTTTTGTGGGGAGTTTTTGCTGTAATTTTTTGTATCTTTATTTCTATGCAGTAATTGTTCAGTTTGGTTATGTAGTTTTTGATGTGTTTTGTTTATTTTTATGACTACTTTGCTATGTTTGTAACTATGTAAATCTTTTCATATTGTAAGCCGCCTTGAGCATTGTTTTAACTGTGGAAAGGCGGCATACAAATAAAATGATGATGATGATGATGAAAGCAGCATGCCTCGGATCATCTCCCTCAGTATCTGCCTGCAGTATTTAGTCACTGAATGTGCTTTACAGGCTGACCTCCGCCCTCCCTAACCCTCTGAGAAAATGAACATGAGAACTTAAAAGGTGATGCTGGTCAACGTCAAAATGTCCTGCCTGGTCTCTGGTGTCCAGGCTGCCGTGTCCCCAGCAGATGCCCCTGTTGCCCCACCTCAGTTACACCCCTGCCACCGGGATTAGCACAGGGCTATCTGGGCACAAGCGCGTGATCTGTTGTGCACACACTGCTGACACACGGCTCTGCAGGCAGGGCAGAAGTGGGAGCAAACACACCACTGCTATTGCCAGCGCATCAATCCTGCAGCCCTGACAGCTCAATGGGCTTTTCCTCCTCGACCCAAGATAAATTGAGATTGATTGTGTGCTCATACATTCTAGTAAGCGGCCTAATGAGTAACTTTTGAACTGACTCTTTGGGTGGCTCTGGCAAGGAAAACCACAGGAGCACAGAACCAGTGGCAAGGAAATGGCCTCTTCTCAGGCTGGGGGGATCCGAGGGGCTCTGAAACCTAGGGAGCTGCCTTCTACTGAGTCAGGCCATCAGACAACCCAGCTCTGCATTGTCCACATGGAGGGGCTGTGGTCTTCCAGGATTTCAGTCCAGGAGCTCTCTCCCTCCTGCTTGGAAAAAGTTCAGTCCAGCCCTGTGCTATACCTTGTGTATGGTTCCAAATACCCAGCATCAGAGTTGAGCCTCACTGGGGACGTTCACACATGGATGTTTAAGCACTCTTTTTGCTGCAGGAACAACTTGTGTGTCAACAGTCTTTCACAACTGTCACGCCCCCTCGCCTCATGTTAATTTCTTCTCCATGGAGTCAGTCCACATATTCAGCTGAGAACAATAAAGTGTTTCAAATTGTGCACAAATTCATCCCCCTAGGAAGGTGTGGCCATGCATGCAAATTTCAGTCAATTGTGGCAGAAAATGAAAAAAGATGCTATAGGCTTTTCTTTTCTTTTTAAAAATACCTAATTTCATGCTGTGCATGAAGATCCCTTAATGCATCTACTTATGATTTGGCTTAATTTACTCTGGAGGGGCTTCTATGCCTCCAAATTCCATCCAATTTTGTGACAAGAAAAAACCCCAACAACAACCATTTTTAGATTGCCCATTCCTTCATAGTGAACGGCAAGAAAACGGAAGATTGCATTTAACAGATCAAATTCAGTCCCAAAAAATAAGTCAAATTGGAAAGACACAGAGCAGCTCTGAAATAGACTGGACTGCTTCCCTAAACTGCAGAAACATGTCGAATTTTGTGGCCGATGCACAACCCTACCGCATAGTAGACCAAAGGGAAGGGAGGGGAGGGAATATCAGGCTAGTTGAAAGGTTGAAGGGTCCATTTGCTAGAAATTTAATTATTGCCCACTGATCTTTGAAAAATTATTGGAGCTACACCCATTTAAAAACATTAATTTTTACAAACGGACATTAATTTCTCCTGCATCCCCCGCTGTTGTGAGTGGAGACTACGCAGGCAGGTGGTTTTGACTTGGGAGCAGTCCCGTCATTGCTGATGGCCAGACCATTAAAAAGGCCATTTGAGCTGTCCAGAGGGGGGGCATTTTTTCATTGCCAATCAAAAATGAAAATGCACTGCGGAACAAAGGATGAAAAGGGACAGTGATTTGCATTAAAAATCACATATTCTTATTGAAATGCACATTTAGAAATAATTGCTACCATTTAAATCACAATGGACTACATGTTGCCCATGTGGAAAAGGCTGTGGCCAGGCAGCTCCATTGGCTGTCTAGCTGCTCCCTGTACCTGGGCAACTTCAAGTCACCTTCCTCCGCTCCCTGGTCAGAGTCCTTGATGTTTAAGCTAGACTTGGACTGTATTTTTAATCTCCTATTGGAAGCCGTCCAGAGTGGCTGGGGAAACCCAGCCAGATGGGCAGGGTGTAAGTGTTGTTGTTGTTGATGTTGTTGTTATACTGGACAACCTTTGAAAGAGAGGATGCTTTCAGAAAGAGGAGCCTCAGAGCACTGGCCACTATAAAGGAAGTTACATAACTGCCCTAATTGCCACAGAAGGCAGAGGGAATGTCTCCATCACCAGCACCCCAGCTTCATTTCATACCAAATTCCCCAGAAGCCCTGAAGTCTCTGGTTATTATGCAGAGAAAAGCACACCTGGCAGTTTCATTTGACCAGATGCAAGATTATGGTTCTGAACATGCACTGCCTTCTGAAATCTCTTCCTCCCCTCCTTGGCCCCTCAAAACCTGGCAGAAACATCCTCCGTCTTGACATCAGCAGGGTGGGGGACGGATGGGAGAGTAGGGCAAACAGAGCACAGAGTCTTTGTTTTGGTGCACATTCTGGGTGTACACCCTTAAAGGTGTACAGATTTAAAAACAGCTGTGGGAATTGAACCAACCAACTAACCAGCTGGTCTTGCTTTTTGCTTTTCTGGTAATAGGCCTGGGCAGAGAAAAGTGTTGAAGTAAGAATTAACACCCTGGTCAACCGGCTTCTGCAGGTGGTGGGGAGTGGGGGTGTGTGCACTTTTTTCATGGCTTCAGGCCAGCCCCAATATGAAAAGCTGGCAGCAAAAACCCGGCAGAGACTGAGACTTCAGTCAAAAAGCTGCTCCGTCCCACCCACAATTTCCTTGGTGAGATCTTTCCCATTGCATCTCAGAGAAAGAACTGGACCTAAAGCACATCCAGGTAACATCCTTTATTGATCAGGTTGCCTATGACCTGTATGTACAGCACATCCCACCTTCCATGGAGCACCAAAATGTCCCCCCGCCTCCCTCCGCCCTTAGGGCTGCCAACACCTCACTGTGGAAGATGCTCCTGGGCTGCCCAAAGCGGCAAGGCAGGGAGAAGCAGAACCAGAGTCAAATCTGTCCAAAGTAGGGAGCGATTGGTGAATATGTCAGTATTGATTTCTCTCCCTTTTTCATTTCCCCATTCTTAAATTCATTTCCTAAAAAGTCCTCGTGAAAATGATTCAGCATTTTAACACGAATTAATCCCAATATACACATCTTTCTATGCAATTTTGCCCAATCCTCACCCTTTTGAATGGGAAGCTTTGCTTCGAGTCCCGGTTTGTGTGTGTGCTGGCTAAGGAAAGTGGTGGAAAAGATCCTCTTCATATGCCCAGTGGCATTCTGTTCTCTCCAGCTGGCCTGCATGTGCAAGGGAAAGACAGCAACGAGAAGGCAAGGAAGTTCTGCTCCAGCTCAAACATGCAAAACCATACAAAAGCATTCTTAATGATTGCTATAGAAAATGTGGAGATCTTCCTTCTGAGATTCCCGCCTCTTTTGCCAGATCCCCCAATGCAGCAGGAAGCCAGGCAGCCATACTGGAGCCATTTGCGGATGCCCCAGTGTCCCCCCCTCCCCCCACCTGCTTACTTGCTTGCTGCCTCAGAGAAGAAAATGGCAGGATCAGCTCCTTGACTCTCCCTGAACTGACCTGCATCCAGTATCCTGGATCCCAACTCCAGAGGTTGCTTGACTCTGGCTCCCATCAGCCTTAGCAAGCCTGGCCAATGGCCAGGGAGATGATGGGAGTTGTCTCATTTGGCACTCAGAGGACCAAAGGTTCCCCACACCCAAATCAGAGCGTTTGGAGTGCAGCCAGATTAGAAACCTCAGTTGAAAGTGAGAGGGAAGAGGTGGCAACTGGGAGGGGAGATGTGGCAGGTGCTTGTGCCTAACCCTTTCTCTCCTCATACCAAGGAGAGAAAGCTCATACCAAGAACTAACTTAGTTGGTCTTTAAGGTGCTACTGGAAGGAATTTTTTTTGTCCTTTCTCTCCTGTAGGTCTTCTCTTGCACTTTCCAGGTGTGGTTTGCCAGTGACTGGGAATGTAGAGTGCAGAGGAGGAATGGCCAGTGAGGAAAGGGTTGTATCCTTAAAAAACGTATACAAACACACACTCCCCACTCCTCTTGTTTGGCCCTAATGGACAATTTTAAACCAATCCCAACACATTTCAGGCCACATGAGGCATTTGCAAGGAGTGCCTTAAAACTATGGTGGATACTGTAATTAAATTATAGGGCAAGGAGCACGGAAAAGATTGGCTAATGCAGCCATGAAAGCAGGGGCTGATGGGAGTTATAGTCCAGAGCAGGCATAGGCAAACTTGGCCCTCTAGATGTTTTGGAACTACAACTCCCATCAACCCTAGCTAACCGGACCAGTGGTCAGGGATGATGGGAACTGTAGTCTCAAAACATCTGGAGGGCTGAGTTTGCCTATGCCTGGTCCAGAGCATCTGGAGGGCACCAAGTGGGGGGCGGGATGGGTTAAGCCAAGCCAGCCCTTTAAGTAAGCAGCAACCCCAGAAATGCTTTCAGTGAGCATTGCAGCTAAATTAACCCACTTTTTGTGGGTTATGCCAATTGCTTCTATTTTTGCATTGTTTGCCTGAGTTTTTGTGCGATTGCCTAACGCATAGTTTTTCCTCCAAAGGCAAATCCTTTTTATCAGCAGAGGATTCCCTCAAACAAAGCTGCTAAAAGCATTTAAAAGCATACATAAAGCTTTCCCGCCCCCAGCCCTCTTGAGCCAACCTGGGTCTCCAGCCTGGTGCCCCCAGTTGCCTGGCCTGCAACTCCCACAGCCGTGCTGGCTGAGTCAGACAGGAGAGACAGTCTTAAACCTGGTTGGTGAAGGTCTCTCCTGAATTTGCTTGCTCATCTGTGGACGCCAAATAAGTAAAGTGCCACTCCTTCATTCAGGTGAGCTGGGGAACCCTAAGTCTGTTGGGATTTAATCCAGAAACTTAGAATATCTCTGCATGTGAAAGCCCCAAAGCTATTCCTATTTTTGTATTATCCATTTGGGGTATTTGCACAAGGAAACTGCATCTTGGGTTTTGAAGGGTTAGGGTTTATTTCTCTTCATAATTTTGCAGCCCAGTCTTAGCCCAGAAATGAAGATCTGATGATTTCAATGTGACAAACACCTTCAATTTACACATACAAAATGTTAATGATTCCACGGAAATAAATATTTTTAAATGTACTGAAAACATTTTAAAATGTGTGCTACTGGTGTAATTATCAAAGAAACCCTAACCCTTTTCTTTTATATTCATCTTTTTTTTTTGTATGAGCAAGAAAGCAATTGCAGCTGTTATGAGGGAGACTTATAAGGACTCTTGGAAACTGATTTTGTTTTTAATGGAAGTTGTTCCTTTTACCTAAAAAAAGAGAGAGATTTCAACACTGATTTATTTAAAAATAAAAGCCTTTGCTTTTTTTTTTTTAATGCCCACAAGCCATGGTATGGCAAGCAGTAGACAGGACCCCTGCCTTCCGCACGTACATGAAAGCCCAGCCACAGCTGCCCTGGCTCGCCGAGGCTGTGGGATGCAGAACCACAGGGCATTTGCAGAAGGAAGAAACCCCTCAGCCACTTCAAAAGGAAGCTAAGGGCAACAAAAACCCTGCACTAGACCCATGATAATTTTCTCAACATTTCCTCTTTCCTGTGATAATTATACAATGCAGTTTCTTTTCTCATTAATTGATGGAGAGTGGACAACAGGAGAAGAAATAAATGCAGGAAAAATGTTTGGAACAGCACTAATTATATCCTCTTCTGTATATCCTAGGCTTGAGTCCTGGTACAGTACTTTAGTTTTTTAATTGTAGCTTTTTCCTGTGAGTACAGTATTGGAACAGGAGAAGCTGCATTTGCCAAACTTCTCCCTGCTAGCTTCTCATTTAGCTACATTAAAAGCATATATCAGATCTGCATCAGTTTTGCTGCAGTGGCAGCCTCACCTCAGCAAAGGAATTGCTGCTTGGTGGTTGCTGAGAATGAATAGGTTTTTTTCTGCCTTCCCTGGGAAAACAGAATATTGCAGACCCCGTTTAAGCCTGCAGTTTAAGCCTCTCAAAGTGTTGCCAGGATCTGGTGCTGATCTGGGCCTAAGGGGACTCACATTTGTACCTGCAGCTCCAACCCCAGCAGGTTGTGGGAGGACAGGCTGTGACACCGGAGTGGCAACTGAAGTGTACTCTGCCTATGTTCAGGAGCACTCTCCTTTATATTTGCTTTACAACTTTCAGAGCCGGGTGTCAATACTGAAGGGGGGATGCTGGGGCCCAGCACTTGTGAGCTCTGGCTCAAATGAAGGGCGAACACAGGTGTAACGTTTTGTGAAGGGTGTTGCTGGTCAGTCTCCTCGATACTAGCACATCTTGAACAATTGGGGGCATGTTTTCCGCATGATTCAGTTTGAACCAGGAAAAACTGGCTGTGGAAGGTGACTATTGACTCGTGCCTGTGACACAACCTGAGAGCGGGTGCCTCCTCCCGCAACCCCTGGAGTCATTTTGTAAGTGGTTTGAAAATATTTGCTGTTCTTTTTTTATAAAGAGAGAAATGAAAGCCTATGTGATGAAACTTCCCTTGGCTGCTGGAGAGGACTTGAGGGTCGGGGCATGCAGCCAGCCAGGAAGGCTTGGCGGCCCCGTCCTGCCGCCTGAGCTGCTCCTCTTCCCGCTGGCCGGAGTCCTCGCTGCCGCTCAGCCGCTGGGCGAGCCCAGGCCGAGCACCGAGAAGGCGGCGCGGTGCTTGCGCAGCAGCAGGCGGATCTTCTCGTCGTCGGAGTCCGGGTCCAGAGGCTTGTTGTATTCGTCGTCCTCGTCCGAGGCTGGGCGCTCGCCCGCTCCGGCCGCCGCGCGGGGCGAAGACGACGACGAGGGCTCCAGGGCGCTCTTCTTGCGCCACTTGGTGCGCCGGTTCTGGAACCAGACCTGCAAGGAGGCGGACGGGCAGCGGGTCAGGGCAGCGCGCCAGGCCGGCAGGAGCCCAGCGCAGGCGGAGCCCGCCAAGGCCGGGCAGGAGCGGCTCGCCGAACAGCCGCCCCAGCCGGCAGCGCGCCCCGCAGAGGAGCCCTGCCGGCGGGGAAAGGTGGCAATCTCACTTCACCCCAGAGGAAAAGGGGCTGGCAGGGGTTTGTTAAATGATGGCTGAAAAAGAGGTTTATTGATCCAGCGGTGCCTCTTCAGTTTCTTAGGCATCTGAATTTTGAATCGCTGTTCTCCACAATGTCCCTGAAGGAGGACCAGAGGGGTCTGAAATGCTCTGGCTCAATAAACCCCTTTCATTTTTTCCATTCTGCTATTTGTTTCCACTTCCACTTGCTTTTTGGAGTTCCTATTTTTGTTGCACTAAATTATCGACAAACCAAGAGTTCTCTGGTAAAAGAACTAGACTTTTGAAAGAAATTTCCCCTTTTCAAACTCCTGCAGCATTTTGGTCCTGGCCTAGAGAAATTTTAGTGCAATGGCCTCCCCAGTTTTGAACACAACTGCAGATCCAGTTTTACCACTGTTTAAATATTATTTCAGATCTAGTTTTACCACTGTTTTAAATATTATTTCAATTTTCTTGAAGGAACCAGGGCGGGTGGGTGTCCCTCCTCCTTCTAGACCTTTTTTCTTGGCCCACAGCTTCTTTCTTTCCTCCACTAATATAGAGAAAAGAAGCAATAGTTTCATTTGCCATCAAGTGAGCTAAAATTCATTTCTCAGAATAGAGTTTTCAAAGAAAAAGTATTAAAGAATCTTTCATTTCCCTCCAAGTATACTATGGCAAAATGCCCCTCACACAATTTCACCACCCACAAAAAGTGTGAAGAGTTTTGGGAGGCCATTTTAACTCTGTCTTAGTTTAAATTATATTGACTTTAGGGCTACAACATTTAAGACAATCCATTTGTTAGATCAATTGATGAAGAACTGGTGCTGCGCCAAAGCCCGCCCTTCTGTTTCTGGAGAGATTTCTTCCCAGGGTGTCCTGCCCAGAGGAAGAGGAGGGGGGCAACTACACATTGGTCTATAAAGCCCTTAGCAACACGGGGACCAGTTTACCCGGGAGATGGCATTGCCCCAGGTGTGCCCTCTTGACTGCTTAGACCTGGGGCTGCATAACCCTCACTCCGTGTGGCAGTGCCAAAAAGGATACAGGGAAGGGCTGGGAAATCCAAAATGGAAATGTCGCCTCCAGCTCCTGCTTAAAATCTTTTTGTTTAGGCCAGACTACCCAGATATCTCGTGTGCTGATGTGCATTTTAATCTGCCTGTAGCTTAGCACTTATTTCAATTATTATCTGAATGTTTTAAATTGTTGTTTTTACCTGTTCTTATCTGTTTTTACTCATATTCGTATTGCTTTATTCTTTTTGTAAACTGCTTTGAGTTTTGTTTTTGTTTTACAGTCAAATTTTATGAAAACAAATAAATAATAAAATAAAATAAAATAAGGTTGGGGCAGTTTCGGCAACCCAGTGGAATCAAACCTGCACCAAGAGATTCCCTGGCGTCTGCCTCATTCTCAGGCGGCTCTAGAATTCCATTGTGCTTTTAATGGGTGCGGGATTGAGCTTAGCGCATCCCTCAAGGTGGTGATGTGTGGAGTTTCTTTGGCCACATTGACACCATACATTTAAAGTGCTATGACCAGTGGCGTAGCGTGGGTTGTCAGCACCCGGGGCAAGGAAAGTAATTTGCGCCCCCTAACCCGTGGATTTGCACCCCCTAACCCGTGGATTTGCGCCCCCTAACCCGTGGATTTGCCCTAACCCCAGATGTTGCGCCCGGTGCGGCCGGCCCCCCCTGCACCCCCCACGCTACGCCACTGGCTATGACACCAGTTTGAAGAATCATGGCTTCTGGCCCCCACCAACAAATGTGGGAAGCTGTAGTTTGTTAAGGGTGCTGAGAGTTGTTAGGGGGCCCCGATTCCCCTCATGGATCTACAATTCCCAGAGTCCCTATGAAAAGGGATTGACTCTTAAACCACTCTGGGAACTGTAGCTCTGGGATGGGAATAGGGCTTGCCTAGCGACTCTCAGCCCTTTTAACAAACTACAGCTCCCATAACTGGGGGGGGGGGAGCTGTGAGTGTTTAAAGTGGCATGAATATGGCCTTTTTCTGTCCAGTAAATATTTCTTTAGTGGTTTGCAGCCTCCCCTGCTGCATACACCCAAGAGAGGAAGTTGCCTCATGGCACCCAGGGAGGCTACAGAGTGCAGAATGCTGGAGGGATGCTAGAAAGAAAGAAAGAAAGAAAGAAAGAAAGAAAGAAAGAAAGAAAGAAAGAAAGACCCTTTGATCACTGCAGATATAATATAAGCACCACAAATCGCACACATGTACATGACAAATTAACCAAAATTTTCTCTCCCTTTTGAGAATTTCTTTCTCATTAATGGTTTAAAAAAAGGTAAATAGAAGAAATTTCTGCCACAGCACTGTTAAAGATCTTTTGATTAAAAGGGGCCAGCAGAACTGTTTTTAGAAGTCAGATATTTTTAATACTGCAGCTGGGTTGCAGTCTGGCACACAGAATGCCTCTTCTAAGACTGTGTGCGCTGCCATTCATTTTCATTTATTACATTTCTACTTCACCACCTTCCCTCCTTGGAGCTCCAGGTGGCGGACAGAGGTCTCCTCTCCACTTATCCTCACATGAATCCTGCGAGGTGGGATTGGCCAAGAGTGAGTGATGGCACAACGTCACCCTGTGAGCTTCATGGCCGAGTGGGGTTTGAACCCTGGTCCAACCCTTGTGTGCCATCTGAAAACAAAATGTGCCTCTTTCTTTGGAAATATTCTTATAGTCATATGCAAATGCATTCAGATTTAACCATGTAACTGGTGGACTAAAACAAATGCAATCCATTGGCTTTCTTTAATTGGGTTGCAGGTTAATTAGTCTGCTTAGACATGCAGCCATTTTCAAAAAAATAATTCGGATGCAATACATAATGACAATTTTGAAAAAGAATAATGTTCCAAAAGTCTATCACTAATAAACTGCTATTCATTGCTAATAAACTACGATTAATTCTTGAACTTCTAAAAACCTCAATAGTAGCATAATTTTAAAACCAAAATAAATCTGCCACTATATTTTGAGGGCTTGGGACGCGGGTGGCGCTGTGGGTTAAACCACAGAGCCTAGGACTTGCCGATCAGAAGATTGGCGGTTCGAATCCCCACGACAGGGTGAGATCCTGTTGCTCAGTCCCTGCTCCTGCCAACCTAGCAGTTTGAAAGCACGTCAAAGTGCAAGTAGATAAATAGGTACCGCTCTGGCAGGAAGGTAAACGGCGTTTCCGTGCGCTGCTCTGGTTCACCAGAAGAGGCTTAGTCATGCTGGCCACATGACCCGGAAGCTGTACGCCGGCTCCCTCGGCCAATAAAAGCGAGATGAGCGCCGCAGCCCCAGAGTCGGCCATGACTGGACCTAATGGTCAGGCGTCCCTTTACCTTTACCTATGTTTTGAGGTGATGTGTGCTAAGAATTTTGCAATGAGACAATGCTTAACGGCTTGACCGAGGTTTGGAAAACCTGAAGCAGCAGCCTGCCAGGGAAGCTTGTGGCAGAGAGAGGGCAGGCCCTGCCGTGGGGCAGCGTAAGGCAACCACCTCAGGCGGCAAATGCCAAGGGGCAGCAGGGGCAGCCCCCTGGCTGCTTACCAAGACGGAAACAAGATTCCGTCTCCGCACTCGGCAGCAGCTCTATGTGGGGAAAGGGCCTTGGACAGTTAGATCACAGGTGGGCCACCTTTCTGCACATGAGTCGTTGCAGAGTCAGGTCCAAAGTGTATTGGTTGCCAGCTTTTCAACTTGCTCCTAGGACCATGTCATTCCAAGCTCCACCTGCTGATTTCTGCTCATCCAGCACTTGTGAAAAGCTGACAGAAGCCAGTCCTTTCTCCTGTCCTGCTCAGCTGGTGACTCTGAAAGCAGGAGAGCGTGTTTTTAATTCTATAGCACATGTAAACACACACACGCCTCTGTTTTGGAGCCTGTTGTGGTGTGACACAGGCAGAAACCCTGCTGAGGCAAACTGCTCCAGCTCTCCTGCTCCTGTCCCAGTGCCATTTGAGGCAAAGCCCATGGCATAACTCTGTGGGCTTCCCTGCGCATATCACCCACGTGAGTGAAAGGGACACAGGCTTGTTATGCATCTTTAGCCCTGATCAGCAAGTTGGCTTTGGGGGATGGGACACACTTTGAGACGGGGGTTAAGGGCAGAGAGCAAGCATTTCATAGGTCACCCCTTAAAGCATGGGCCCTCAAACTTTTTGGGGTTCCCAGAGGCACCGTTGAAAATCTCAGAAACTGTTGTAAGCACCACAAAATACAGAGTGCACAGGACCTAACCCTCCCTCCCCACCAAAGAACTGCTTCCCCAGCAAACAAAGCAGAGCCAAAAAAAGCAGGAACCTCCCCCCCCACAAACCAAGGAAACCCAAAGCAACCTCTGCAAGCAAAAAAAGGGGGGGATCCCCAACAATTGGGATGAATGGGTGTTCAGCCATGTGCCTGAGGGTGCTCTGGTGCTCACAAGCACCGCATTGTGAGCCCCAGATTTAAACTGATGTCCCACCAAGTCCCTTCTCCAGCTTGTTCTTTCACCTCCCAATTGGCAGTGCCTCTTTGGAGACTGGATTTGGCCCAAGGGCTGCCAGTTGCTGACCTGGGCGAATGGCTATGGGTGCTGCTGCTGATTCCCTGCCCCCGCCCTCCCCCAGCTTGTCTCACAAAGGTACAGGGAGCTCACCTTCACCTGCGATTCACTCATTCCAAGGGAATAGGCAAGTCTGGCCCGCTCAGGCCCAGCCAGGTACTTGGTCTGCTCAAAGGTTTTCTCCAGGGCAAAGATCTGGTGGCCCGTGAAGGTCGGCCGCGTGTGCTTCTTCTTGTGGAGGCTGTCGCCCACGGGCCCTGCAGCTGTGCAGAGGGAGAGGGGCAGCGTGAGGCCTGAGGGGCACTGAAGCTGGCTAGCGCTTCCTTCCCTGTGCACCAGGCAGGATGAGCCCTCCAGCCGCCCCTGCCCCAGACACACACCAAGGCAAATCTATGCCAGCCATCCCTAGGAAAGCAATCAAAAACAAAACTGCCCATCTCATCATGCCCTTAGACCACTCTGCCGCATGAGCGTACTTGGAGTGCTGCGTGAGGTTTGGCTCGCCTAAGCTCAAAGAGGACCCTGCAGAAAGAGGCTCAGAGAAGGGCTGCCCAAATGATCAAGGGAATGGAGAGACTCTGCTATGAGGAAAGGCTGCCGCATTCGGGACTTAGAGAGAAGACAATATGAGCTGACGTGGTAGAAGTCTATAAAATGATGCCCAGTGTGGAGAAAGAGAGTTGGGAAGAGTTTTTCTCCCTCTCTCCTCACGCTGGAACTTATGGGCATCCAATGAAGCTGTATGTGGGAGACCCAGGACAGAAGCATAGTGCATAGCTAAACTATGGAACTCCCTGCCACAGGGGGCAGAGCCGGCCACCAACTTGGATGGGGAAATTAACGGAAGACCAGGCTAGCCGTGGCTACTAGCCACAATGACTATGCTGTGCCCCCACCATCAAAGGCCTGGCGCCTCTGAAGGCAGCTGCTGGGCATCGCAGGCAGGCAGAATATCTCATGTCCTGCTTGCAGGTTCGTCCCCCCCCCCAGGCATCCAGGTGGCCACTGTGAGATCAGGGTGCAGGGCTGGGGGGGGGCATGGGCCTGATCCCGCAGTCTCTTCCGAGGTTCTTAAGCTACCACAGGTTGAGGAGGACCTTTTTTAGCTAAAAGATTCACTTCTGTGCACTGTTCTGTCAGGCCTATTCGTCATCTGGTGCTGGGCAAGGAGAATGAACCAGACACCCCACAGGTTGAGGACCTTGGGGAACAGGCCCGTACCTAGGGGTGCCTTGAGGTGCCCTCTGGCCTGACCCCAGAGGAAGAACCTCGGGGCATGTCAGAGGATGGGGTGGGAGTGCGCCCCCCCCCCAATCCTTGAGAGTGCAGACAACAAAATCTCTGGGCCCAGGATGAAGGACAGTAGCTCAGGAGGTCTCCATGGGTACAGAATGGGCAGGCTACTCGTGCGAAAGGGACTGCAGTGCACCACAAACCCTGTTTGTGCTGGCAAAGTTGGCATTTCTGCTGCTGGGGCCTGAGCCCCTGAGGGAGCCCCCCGAGAGTGACACTTCCTGACGGCTGAATGCCAGTGGGAGAAGCAGGGGGAGCAATCCAGGCAAATGTCTCCCTTTGCAAAGTGCACTGCTCTCTGCTCATGCTCACAGAGCCCTTTCTGTTTTCTGCCGGGGCAACCTATATGCCTCATCGGGGGTCAAGAGGCGTTCCAGTCAGGTAAACCTCTCTAGGGGGCCTGGCAGGGCTGGGGGGGTGGGGTGGGCATGGCCTCAGGTCCCCCACTCTCAGCCCCATCACTTCCTCCTCTGCCTGTCCGAAGTGCTGCTCTTAAGATAGTATTCTTATTTAATAGCGTTATTTATTACTTGGCACATGATTACTCCAGAAAGCCAAACAACTTGGTCTACCAAACACATCTGGGTGGCTTGTGTGTGTTTTATTAATCTAGCAGCCTTGGGTTGGGTGCAAATCTGGGCTGGGACTTGTGGCATGCCTTCTCAGCCCCCTTCCCAGCAAAACACCAATGCCAAAGCTATATAAGCTGTTAAGGGCCCCCAAAGGAGCTTTGGGGTGTGGGGGGGGTGTTGATTTGAGAGACTCTCTCTTCTTCCCCATGAACCTGCCCATCAGCTGAAGCCGCCTTCCCAGGACTTGCTCTGCACTCAAGCCCCCGAGCAGGTGCACCGGGGGGGGGGGCAAGGGCATGGCTGGCCCTTTTTATTCTGTGAACCCCCCTGAGATCTTATGATGAAGGGCAGTATATACATTTAATTGATAAATATTAATAGTGATAATAATAATCAGGCAGAGTGGGGCTTTAGATACTTTGGTTCATTGTATCAATATTTTATTGTTGCAAAAAGAAATTATTATAAGAAATTTTGCAGGGATGTGAGCTGTGGCCTCGGTTCCTCTGATCCTTCCCCCATCCCTACCCCCACTTCCACTGCAGAAGAGCCCCCAGATCAGGCCAATGGCCCACCAGACCCTGTTCTCATCCTGTTGACAACCAGGTCCTTACGGAAAACCCTCAGGCAAGACCCAGGCCATCTCCTCTTGTCTCTTGCAGCTTCCAGCAACTGGCATTCAGAAGCATCACTGCCTCCAAAAAATTTGCATAAGACTAGTTAGAACTAGTCTTCCCCAACCTGGTGTCCTCCAGTGGTCTAGAGCTGGGAGGGACCATGAGGCCCATTGAGTCCAACCCCCTGAAGCAGAGAGCAGCTGCAGGGAATGCAAAGTGATGCTGGACTCCAGGGCAGCCTTTATTGCCCAACTTCCCCAACCTTTGCCCAACCAGATGTTATTGGACTCCACTTCCCATCAGCCTCAGCCACAGCAGCCATTGGTTAGGGACGATGGGAGTTGTGGTTGAAAAACATGTTCCCCCCTGGTTTGGGGAAAGCTGCCCCAGAGGAACCTCTGCCTCACCAGATGGTGCTAGACTGCCACTCCCACCATCCCTGACCATTAGGCCTGATGGGAACTGGAGTCCATCAGCATCTGGAGGGGCAGAGGCTCCCCACCCGCTGCCCTAGAGGATGTGATGGGGCACAGCTCTTCCCTTTGCGGAGGGTGGGTTTGCCACGTGTTTCTCCTTCCACCAGGGCTGTTTCCCTGGCACCTGTGCCCATGCCACACGAGTGCCCCTGGCCTTTTGCACACTTCTTTATGGAGCCCCATATCAGCAGCACCCGGCTACCCGGCGCCGTCTGTCATTCCAAGGGGCACTTTCGTGGCAGCCAAGGATAAACTTTGCTTGATTCCGAGAACCGCTCCCTTTGCCCAGGAAAAGCAACGCAGAGGGAGGGCAAAGGAGCCAGTCACCTTCCTGCAGCTTTCTCAGGCACCTGTTCCAGAAAACCAGGTAACCTCCCCTCCCCCCACTTTCTGCAGTGACCAATCTCCAAACAAGTGTGAGGGGGGGGTGAGAGATACATGAGGGATCCCGGGGCTCTCTGACCTAGAAGGCCTGCCCCAATCCAAGAGGTGAAAGGCTGCCTGTGGTTATTAAAACTCTGCACATGCTCAAGGACACTTGTCTGCTTGTTTGCCATGTTATCTCTAGTTACTTTTTCCTGTCATTGCTGTCTCTCACACTCTCAAAACCTGTAAGCTCCTGGTTCCAAAATATGCTGTTTTTCCTCCTGCATGTGACTCTGTGAAAGCACTACAAACACCGATGACTCTACATGCAAACCTGCCTCTTTCTGGTGCCCCTTGACTTCTTAAGCAAGCGCCCCCTCTCTTCCCCAGTCAAACAAAGTCCAGCATGTTTAGCTGCCTTTGCCTGTGTTTATTCATCCTTCAACTCTCTCTCTTTTTTCTTCACTGTGTTTTTTCACTTGCTGTTCAAATGCATACTGCAAGCCCCTTGAGGCAGGGAGTGCCCAAGTTGCTCCACATACTTGAATGATGCCATAATGAACAATCATAACTACTTTGCGTATTCCAGGACCAAGTTCTGCCCTCGGTTCAGCCTTGCCAGTTTCCTTTTGCCACCCAAGGCCATTGCCTCACCCTTACAGATACCTCTCCTGGCTACTCCCCCCCCCCACATCCCCCCAAACCCACCCCACCCCATGGTTAGTTTGCTACTCACGGTTGCCACATGGCCGAGCTCCATGCCACTCCTGCCCTGTGTCTGCCCAGCAGTTCCGACCTCTGGCTGAGTATTCGCTTCCGGCTTTGGAGAAGTTCCCCACTTGAGACCCGTAGTAAAGGCTCTGGGTGCCCAGTCCGTTGAACCCACCAACGTGGGAGTAGCCCGAGAGAAGACCCCCATTCGGTGGAGCCACTGGCCTGCTCAGGATGTCGCTGATGCCATGCGGTGTGCCAGCAGCCAGCTGGGCACTCAGCCCAGGGGGGCTGAGCTTGTAGAAGGAGTTTTGCACTGTATACTGGCACATCGAGGCCTTCACCTCTGGGAAAGGGGGCAGAGGAGGGTTGTTGAGAAGGAATGTCCCCTGGAGGTTGGTGTCCATCGCTAGACTGCCCGCTGGGAGATGAGCCTAGTGAGGTTTGGGGGGTCAATCATGCAGCTTTTAGATTCCCAGAAGTGCATGGCACATTGGCAGTGCCATCTCACAGAGACCCTGCTTCTACTTGGCAGCCTCCCTGCTGGCACAGAGGCAGCTGGTGGTCTGGAGCAGCTCCTGCTGGCCAAGGGAAACTGTGGCTCAAGTCCATTGGGTGCCTGGCTAGCGGACCTCCCTGTGCCCCAGAGATTCTGAAGTCAAAACTGGCCAGCCACCAAGTTTAACTTCAAGGGAAGCTTCATTCCCTCTGATAAAAGATGGGGCTTATTAGAATACTGGGCCTCTGATAGGCTGCTGTGCTGGGTCTCCTGGCTCTCATTGGCTGGGCCAAGGACAGGATGTGGATTGGCTGCTCCCAGACAAATTACCCTTTGAAAGATCTACGGTCAACACCAGAACCTTAACGCTTGGATAGCAGGGGGGGGGGCAGAGAGCCTGCCTTTGCCTGGGGTGTGTGATGGATGATAGAGTGGGAGGGGTGGGGGTGTTTGTGCAAGAGAGAGAGACTCTGCACCTTTGTAGGAGACAGACTCTGATTATGGGCGAGTGCAACAGAAGGACCATGGATAGGAAATGCGGGTGCAGCTCTCCAAGGAGCAGGATGAGGCCGCAGCCTCAGGCGGTTGGTTTGGGTGGGCCTTTACAGGGCAGCAAAATGGGAGGTCAGACAAGCCTGAGCCCTGGTCCTTGGGGGAAGCCCTACAGGAATCTGTGCAAGAGATTCTGCTCCTGCATGGTAGGGAATATTGTTTTATTTATTTTTAAAAAGGCTGTTGTGGAACGTCCTGGGGGACTGGGACTGGGGATTGACAGATCTCTCCATTTCACTTTCTCAACAATGTTACTTCTATTTTTATTGATTACCAGTAAAATGCTTGGGAAAGGGCAATATTTTATCATTAAAAAAAAAAAAGATTTTAAGAATCAAAAGGAAAAAAGTCTGGCTTAGGTATCTTTTCTGCCTCCATCCCCACTAGCATGGATATAACACAGTGGAATGTACAAGAACGAAAAGGACCTTCCTTGCCAGGGGGGTGGGGGTGGCGGTCTGTGGGCCAATTTTGGTCTTCCAATTCTGGTGTGACCCATGGGGCCATTTCCCCCAAACCAAGGCCGCCTGCCCACCAGCCCACATCACAGTGGGGGCTGTCTTAAAATGCTTTGCAATTGGGAAAAGTACTTGGAAGCTGCTGCAGGTTCCCAAGTGCCTGGCTGTTGAGGTCCTGCAAGACCCGCCCAAGAGATTTTCAGACGATGTCAATCACACAATGTCATAATAATGTCATGTGATTGACAGGTGGGTGATTTTGATAAGGACCCAACCCATGTAGCCAAAAAGGTTCCCTACCTCCCAAAGTGATGAAAAGTCCATTGCAATTCTTCCTGCAGCTTAGCTTGGAGCCAAGAAAGAGAAGGAGATTGTGGAGATGCCGGCAGGAACCAATGACTGAACGGGCATTATCACCAAGAGAGTTCAGTGAACTTAGGGATACAGTGGTGACAAGAGACGGATGTCTAGGCCTCATTCACAAATTTACAAATCGCCATGTCTGAATGCTGTTCATCCAGGAGTCCTTCAGGAATGCAAAGGTGAAGTTGCTGATCTCCAACAAAAATATTATTATTATTATTATTATTATTATTATTATTATTATTAAAATATCTAAAACCATCCTCTGTTCAAGGACTGATCTGGACCACAGAGGGGCTGAAGTTAGAATATTTTACTTTATTTTATGTTATTTGGACCTTTGGATCCAGAAAATGACAGGCCAGTTAGCTTAACATCTGTTCTGGGCAAATTGGTGGAAAGCATGATTAGAAGTATGCCCTCCCAAGGATCTGGAAAGGGGCCTGTACTTTTAAATTTGTTTTTAAATGATCTGGAGCTAGGAGTGAGGTTTGTTGTTGCTGTTATTTCTTATTTATATGCTGCCCATCTGACTGGGTTTCCCCAGCAACTCTAGGCAACTTCCATCAAATTAAAATAATAATAATAATAATAAAATTTTTATTTATATCCCGCCCTCCCCAGCCGAAGCCGGGCTCAGGGTGGCTAACAACAATAAAATAGTACAACATTCTAAAATCATTTAATTATAAAACTAATTCGAATCAAATTGATGGCAACCATTAGGCTAAAGTTCTGTGAAGATTGCCAGAGGAGGGAGTCAGGCTGCGCCCTGACCAAAGACCTGGTGGAACAGCTCTGTCTTGCAGGCCCTGCGGAAAGATGTCAGGTCCCGCAGGGCCCTGGTCTCTTGTGACAGAGCATTCCACCAGATTGGAGCCACAGCCGAAAAAGCCCTGGCTCTAGTTGAGGCCAGCCTAACCTCTCTGTGGCCTGGGACCTTCAAGATGTTTTTATCTGAAGACCGTAAGTTCCTCTGTGGGGCATACCAGGAGAGGCGGTCCCGTAGGTACGAGGGTCCTAGGCCGTATAGGGCTTTAAAGGTTAAAACCAGCACCTTAAACCTGATCCTGTACTCCACCGGGAGCCAGTGCAGCTGGTATAGCACCGGGTGAATGTGATCTCACAGCGAAGACCTCGTAAGGAGTCTCGCTGCAGCATTCTGCACCCGCTGGAGTTTCTGGGTCAGTCTCAAGGGCAGCCCCAGTAAGACACCAAACATTAAAAACTTCCCTATACAGGGCTGCCTTCAGATGTCTTCTAAAAGACAGATAGTTGGTTATACTTCCTTGACATGGGAGGGTGTTCCAAAGGGTGGGCACCACTACCGAAAAGGCCCAGATAGGATCAGGATTATGGACAACAGCGAACTATTCAGGGCGATAAAGCCCAAAAGGGATTCTGCAAAGCTCCAAAATGATGTTTCCAAACCGGGTGAATGGTCAATAAAATGCCAGACATCATTCAAGGTTAAGTACAGTGATGCACACTAGGGTAGGAAAACCCTAAATTTAGAATCAATTCCGAGGGTGTCTGAATTGATTATGACTGACCAGGAAAGGGATTTTGGAATCCTGGTGGGCAGCTTAATGGAAATGCTGAGGCTGGTGTGTGCAGGAGGAGTGAAAAAGTGAAAGGAAAATGGAAATCCAGTGTCCAGGGTCATGGAAAAGGATCAACAATAACGTACCAATGTCAGAATGGCTTTATGCAAATCTGATCACCCCTGGAATACTGTGGACAGTTCTGGGCATCCCAACTCAACAAGGATATTGTAGAGTCAGAAAAGCATCAGAAAAAGCAGCCAAAATGATTAAGGGGATGAAGTGACTCTCCTGTGAAGAGAGCTTACAACATTTGCGGTTTCTTTATTTTAGAAAAAGGCAATTAAGGAGACTGTGTTGGAGGTGTATTGATTTTACACAGTATGGAGAATGTGGATAGGAAATTTTTCTTCCTCTCTCATTGTACAAGAAACCCAGAGGAGTAATCCAGTGAGCGAAGAATGAATGGTGAACGGCTGTACTTCTTCATACTGTGCATGGTTAAACTATGGCACTCTCTGCCACAAGATGTAGTGACAGCAGCCACTTTGGACAGCTCTAAAAGAAGGTCATACAAACTCATGTCGTCAGTGGCTACTAGTCATGGTCACTATATTACTTACTGGGTATCATCGGTATCTGCACGCCAGTTGCTAGGAAGAGAGAGAGCGTCAGGAGAGAGCTATGGTTGCCCGCATGTTCTGAAGATGTTGACCCCAGTGGGAACAGAATAGTTCCAGGTCTTTGGTCTGACCTAACACGGCTCTTCTTACGCTTTTTGAGCTACCCATCTGAAAGCACACATTTTGGGGGCAGAAGAATGGGATTGTGCTGTACAGCATAGGATGAACCCACTATCAGTGTACAGGGATTGCATGCAGTAGCTTTCATGAAATGAATCCTTGTTTAGTGCACACCTTTAATTAAAGTCATGCAGTTGGAGACTCTGTATAAAATAAGAAAGCTTATGTTTACTCAGGGAAGTACATTCTTGATAGGAAAGAGTTCTTTAGTCCTAGCTAACGAGTTTAATAAAACAAAGAAGCTAGACATGCCCCTTTGTTCTCAGAAGATGCATCCAAGGCCCAGAGAAAGTGTGAGAGGGGAGGCAGAAATGAAAAAGGACACCACCTAACATGGATCACTTCCCCTTCAAAAGGACAGGTCAGCACAGAGGTCAAAGGGACAGAGACTGTCTAGGAGCCTGGAGTCTCCTATGCTCTCTCTCTCTGAACCCCATCCAATCTCTTCTAAGCCAGCCAAAGTGCACTGCTTACTGTATACAGTGTCTCTGCAGAGGGTGAGGTGAGAGGGGTGTTTTGGGGATGGGTTTTGTAAGTAGAAATCATGGGTAGGGATGAACAAAATCTGTCTGTTTTGATTTCCCTCAGTTTCTCATTTTCCCAATCTTCCATTTAATTCTCCATATTTTCACATCAATCTGCACTAAAAAAAATCCTCATGAAAATTCACTAACATTTTAGCGCAAATTTATTCTGATGTACACATCGTTTGCAAGCAATTTCCCCAAATATAATGCATTTTATGTGTTGTTTTCACAATTAAATGCATTTTGTGCACACTTTCTCCTAATATAAACATATTTAGAGACATTATTTGGTTAGACAATTGCATTGCAAAATTTGGAGAAGAGTGACTTCTCTGTTTTGATTTGCATCGTTTCAAAAAGCACAGATTAGGTAGTTTCACATTAAAATCTCAATGAGACTGGATTTCTCTCCCAGCTCCACTCACTGGCTTGCCAGCCCACATACTTTTTTTTCCCCATTTAATTTTTATTGCTTACTTCAAAAAGAAAAGTAGCCAAAAAACATATATACACACACATAAACACATAAAAATAAGACTACACAATCATACACCTATAGAGAAAGAAAAAATAAAAATAGGAAATATATATACAGAACTTAATTTTCACATTTACTCCTTGTTGGATTATCGCTTTCAGGACTTCCTTTAGCTTTCCCGACAATCATTCGAAGTGATACTTTAAGTTACACATTTCCTAGTATATATTGTCATTATGCTTTTTTATATATATTTCTTAATATATACTGTTCTTATACCTTATTTGTACTCCCATTAAGTTCAAACAATAACCCATACTCGATTACAGTGCATCTCTAAATCCCTTTAGCGTTATTTTCCTTTGACTGATAAGTTCCAGATAATCTACATATTTACCCCAGTCCTTGGTAAATTTTTGGGCTCTTGTATATCTTACTTTGCCTGTAAGTCTGTCCATTTCCATATAATCTAGTAGTTTAAATCTCCACTCCTCTACCGTTGGTGTTTCCTGTCTTTTCCACATCTGGGCCAGCATTACTCTTGCTGCTGTAACTGCATAGTACACTAATTTACAATCTTCTTTTTTTATCTCATGGCCTAACATGCCTAATAAGAAGAGTTCTGCCTTCTTTGAGAACGTGTATTTTAAGATCTTCTTTAATTCTATATAAATTTTCTCCCAGAACTGCTTCACTTTTCCGCACTCCCACCACATGTGGTGGAAAGAGCCCTCACTAACCCTACATTTCCAGCACTTGTTATCCACCTTGTACATCTTTGATAGTTTCATAGGTGTTAAATACCATCTATAGAACATCTTC